GTATCTCTTAAAATATGTAAGTCGTAGTAACAACCTTACTTTATTATGAATTTTAAGAGTAACAATTTAAGAAAAGAGGTCTTAATGCTTTTATAATAAAAATTTACCGCTAATTTCTTTCTTGGTGTGAGTTAAAAGAAATTAGTCAGTCGGTAAATCTAAGTGATGTAATCTTTTATTTCAAGCTAATTAAGTAATTAAATAATAAATGATGACACTAAATGTTTACATAACAACTGATTCATAATTACTAATTAGTTAATTCATTTTATTTAAATTTTATTTACCGTTCATTATCTCATTGTTCCGATAAATGTTGTTTGCAATATATTTAAAGTTTTGAAATTTAATTTTTACTTACATAATCTACTTATAATTCGTTTCGTAACTTTTTAAAACCTTTTTGCGAAACGTTTTTATTTAATATTATACAATTAGAAACATTTTATAGTGTATGGTTTCATCTTACTAATATTATTAATGCGAATGTTTGGATGGACGGATGTTTGAAGGTATTTCCAGAACGAGTAAACGGATCCCGCTGAAATTTGGCATCGATGTAGAACATATAGTCTAGAAGAACATATACTTATTAAGTTTTTTTTTTTAATTCCGCGCGGACGGAGTCACGGGCTACAATTAGTATATTTTTAATTACAATTAAGATAATTAAAATACTAACATGTCAAATAATCCATCATTTTATAGAACAAATGTAGATAAATATCTTATCTATTCATGAAAACGTTCATTGTTTCGTACAGAAAAACATTTCAACGTTATTTGTGTCTTAATCGTACAATACCATTTTGTAAGCTTTTCAATTTGTAACACAAAACTCTGATTGTGTTTCAGTACAATACGATATTAGGGTTACGACATAATAACGAGTTTTGAAGTTTATTACTGCCAGCAATGTATTACCGTAAGTAACAGGATATGTTTATTATTTTTTTGTTAACGTTATATGTATTTTAATTTGTTCGTGTCAATATTTAGTGCCTGTATCATTTTAATTTATTTATAAGACATAAATTACTTCAGCTGATTATGACGGACAATATGTACAGATACTGAACGCAGGAGTTGTGATTACAAGTCATTAGGGGATGAACGGGAATTTAAGCAGCCTAGGAACTGTTTAGCTTTAAATTAACCCGTTATATTTTCCCAAGTTAGCCAACCTTTAAGATTAAATAAAGCGTGTCTCTTTTAGTGAAAATATCTTTCACTTATTCAAACTATTATAATAGTTAGCAGCGTTATAGTTTGCACGTACAAGAGTTGTATCTTTCAAAACTCACTCTGTAAAAAGCACGTGAAATAGTGTTTGTATCTGAGTGTAAGTCCCGAAGACGTGGATTTTGCCGCAAGAACGGACAGACAATGCTCTCGCAAATTGGATTGCAGTTGCCTCGAGGATCGGCCGAAGTCGGTCCGTAATTGGTTGTTCAACTCGCTCGAGTCACGAGTCGAGACCGCAATCTTGAGCCCACGCCAGACCATCCAAAACAATACGAAACTATAAATATGATTACGAATATTTTGTTTAGTTCCTTTATGATGATATCATCTTAAACAAATTATTAGGTAAGATTGATTTCAAATCGTAATTCACTTAAAGAAAATTACATTTGTTAAATTACATGGAATTGATTTTTGGAGATTACGACATTGCTACTCAATAGATTTATAACGTTTCGAAATTTCTAATACTATTAAAAATATAAGTAGAATAATAATATTATCTAGATGTGCCAAAAACTAAGATAAGTCACGGTTAAAAACTTAAGTTAAATACTTTTACTTTAAACCAGCAAATAGTGGTATCGTTTCTTTAAACTTGTATCAACATTAGATAAATTATCGAAAGGGAAAAAAGATAGCGCTTTGTTAAATCTGTTGTTCAATATTCAGTAATATTATTCAGTGTCTAGCGAACTATTTTCACAGCGACAAGCAGTTGAATTTTAATAAGCGGCAGAACAAACGTTGTTATATTCCGAAATGAAACAAACAAAAACAAAGAGCCCTTTCATTTTAGTATATTGGAGCGTACATTTTTCATTCCAGATTTGAATATCCCGCGCCATTAGGACGTTGGCAGTGCGCCAACAGAGGTGCGAGTATATTTGTAAGCTTAACATTCAAGGAAGTGTTGAATCTCGGAATAGAACTTCCACATGAAGAATCGTCTTCGTAAGTAGCAATCTTAGCTTCCTCTTTAAAACTGTTACGTATCTTTGTTATAAATTATTCTAATGTTATATCTACGTAACATTTGAGAAGGTAAAGTATTAACTCCTATATTAATTTAGTTAAAATGATTTGATTTTTTAGATCAATTTGTATAACCTAACTAACTAACTTAACCAAAATATATTCTTAGTAACTTAATCCAATTTTATGAATATTTAATCTTAAACGTTGGCAATACATTACTATTTGATTTTTTTTTTGAGTAATTAAAAACAAAACAATTTTGAAAGCATTGCGTACAGTAATAGATTACTAAAATGTTTAATATTAGTATGTTATTTAAAAATGGATGATGCGCAAATGCTTTGATCTAGGCCATACGGCTGTCTAATTCGCATTGTACTTCAAACGAGTTAGTAGAATAAACGAAGTGATATTTGACGAAGTATGTTTGGAGGACGGTATTGTTTACGCGTAGCGGTCTGGCAATTTTCGATCAACATTAAATAGAAGCGAATTAACCTAAAACATAATCTACTTAGTAGCAATAGTCAGATGCCAGTGTCATTGTCACAAAAGAATTTGAACTAGATTACTTTCGATTTACATTTGCCCAAATTAGAGCGTTTCCTTTGATATCTCAAATGACTTCATTAACTAAGGATTACGAACACTATATTTATTTATTTTAACGTAATTTAATAACTCAATTTATTCAAGTATAACTGTTTACAGTTTTAGAATAAATCTTTATATACAATTACATCCGTGTGCTATAAAATTTGGAAAGTATGGCAATCAAAAATTAAAACAGATCGACAAAAACACTCGATGGAAACAGGCCTAAAAGTGTTATAACTTATATTTACCAGATATCGCCAGTGTAGTGGCAGTCGCTGCAATGTTAATGAAGTTAACAATCTAGACGTATGAAAGGCAGCCGGCCCACATCTCTACGAATATACCGTGTCACCGCACGACCTATACGGACCTCGAAGTGTGCCGAGCGTGTGCAGGGTTTTTCTCCGAAATTCAATGCTCGATTCACTTAATTTGATTTCAAAATTATAACTCTTTAATAATTTAAAATACTCTACAATAAAGTTTGCTTTTAATTCAAATACAATTGGACCCATTTTTAAAAAAAAAACTAAAATAAATTTCATATTTAATCTGTGGTGGATAGGTCATCGCACTATTAATAATTCAGTGATTTACTGAAGATTTTGTGTTGACTATCTCGTACAGAATTAATTGTTTAGAAGCATTAAATTAAAATAATATATATTATTAATCGTTTTTCCATTTATCCGGTTGTAACCAGACATCGTCAATTCTTCAAAGTGAACTACAATTTAATACGTGTATACTATTCCAAATCGGTACTAGAAATATCCGACATATTTCTAAGCGGTTATAAGAAACCATTTTATATAAAAAATGGAACGCTGTCTATATATTGTACAATGCTAGATACATTATGTATCAAGTAGGCGAGGCAGGTAACTAAGGTGACGCAAGTTATTTATTTAAATTTCAGCCTCGTCCGCAATGTCGGTCACTGTGTACTTTTTGCCAAACGTTTTAATACGTTACATATATGATCCACATGGTGAAATCTATTTACAATTTTTTATGGTTTTTCTTATGTACAAATAATTTTAAATACAGCTAAGTCATAATTTGTGAAAGACTTATCAAATAATTTGTCGCTAAGGAATCCCGTTAGGGTAAATTTCTCATTTTAAATCAACGCTAAGGGTGAGTGATTCTGAAGGCAGCAATTAAAGCTTTAACTATATTCTAATGTATGAATGTCATACAAAAGAAAACAAAAGTATCCAATGTGAAAAAAGCATTTGGTTTGTCGTGATCTATTCAAGTGGACTAAATCAAGTCATTCTACCTGCAACTTTCCACCATGTGTTAAAAGACAAACCTGTTTTAATACAACCATGTTACAATCGTATAGTCATTAAACTTGCTGGATTTGACTTCTATTAAAACTTTGTTTTGCTTTCTTTTCTCTTCTTGTTTAATATTTAAAAAAAGTTGTATTTGAATGCGTAATCTAAATTTATAATTGGTATTAAAGAAAGAGGCGTTTTGCTATTAAATATACTTTGCATAAGAATTACGGCCTTGAGTTAGTAAGAGAATTTGCAGCAAGGTTACATTTGTGATATATCCTAGGGTCAATAATAGAAACACTAGGTATATAACAACTAATTCTACATATTAGCTGCAGATTGCTAATACAATCGTTTCACAACTTTGTTATGTCCTTTTCCAAGTAGATAAATATAGGAAAACACACTTTCATTTTAACATTAAGTACTTTCTAACAAGTATCGTTTCTCGGGGCTATGTTAAAGAATTGTCAAGAAAATGACGAATAAAGCTGATTACACAATAACCATAATAAGTAAATGTAACGTACAAAAATGAACCTAAACGTCACATTAACCCTTTCACTTTGCGGTAATGTTTTTTACGGGAATAATTTCGTGTACACGCCTAATAAAAGACTTCAACGATTCATGCTATAAAATCGTATTCAAAGATGCAACTCTCCACGCTTCGTTTACGATACATTATGTTGTATTCATATGTCAGATGGTACCGCGTTTGATGTACAACCTGTATGTATATGTTAAGGTAGCTATGTATACATATGTCTCACTATAAAACCGCCTTTCTCCACTCCGAATCCGCGTACACTAACATGACCGACTAAACGAGCAGTTTCTATTTTATGTCAATCGATCTATAAACGGCATGTAATGAAGTATGAGCCGCACCTGAGCGGGATCGGCTGAAAGGGGAACCGGTGCGCCGGCGGGTGCGCAGCAACGATGGGCGCCGGGGGCACCGGCACAGCAACAGGCACGGGTACCGGGTGCACCGGCAGCGGGTGCACGGCCGGCGGCAGCGTGCTGTAGGGCGGCGGGGGCACGCTCTCTAGCGCGGGGTCAGGAGCGCGCGGCGCCCGCGCTCTCCTCGGCCTGCGCCGTCGCGCCGGTTCCTCCGTCTGGCACTCGGCACTCGCGACGCTCCTCTCCCTATCCGTTTGTACGCCACCGTTCACCTCGAAACCTGGCGGCGAATCCACTCGCACTATGTTCACGTTCACATTTGACACGTTCTCTCGGCTCGGCTCACCCGGCACTCGAACCGAGACCGAGTCCGATTT